TATATATATATTTTACAACCACTCGAAGTGTACAACTCAATGGATTTAATATATTCAGCACCACAAATTTAGAACATTTTTATCCCCTCAGAAAGAAACCCAGTTACCCTTTAACTACCACCACCCTACATCCAACCCATGTCCAGCCCTAAGCAACCATTAATCTGTTTCCTGTCTCTCTGGATTTCCCTATTTTAGGCTTTTTTGTGAGTGGAATCATATAATATGCTGGCACAGGGCTGTGACTGGCTTTTTGTCACTTAGGACGATGTTTCAGGGTTGCATGTAGCATGTATCAATACTCTATTCCTTTGTGTAACCAATAAGAGCCTATCGTATTATCCATACTTTATTTATCCATTCTTAAATTAATGGCTATTATTTGCATCCCTTGGCCATTATGAATAATATGGCTATAAACATTTTTATACACACTTTGTGTGAATATATGTCTTCAGTTCTCTTGGGTACAGTCATAGGAGTGGAGTTGCTGGATTATATAGTAACTCTATGTTTAAATATTTGAGCAACTTCCAGATTATTGTCCAAATTGGCTGTCATTTTTACATTCCTACTAATAGTCAATGATGGATCCAATTATTTCTTTACGTGCTTACCAACACTTGTTATATCCAGCTTCTTTTTTTTTTTTTTTTTTTTTCCTTCTGTACTGGGGATTGAGGAAGGACCTGTCTACTAGGTTCCATACCCAGAACTTTTTTTCTTTAATTTTTAGACCCACTAAATCCCCAGACTAGGCTCAAACTTATGATCTTTCTGCCTCAACCTTCCAGAGTGCTGGGATTATAGATCTGCTCCACCATGCCGGACGGTACCTTTTTAATTTTAGGTATCATATGGGCATGCAGTGGTATCATAGTTTTGATTTGTATTTCTCTGATATCAAGTGATTTGAGTTTTTTGGGTTGGTTTTGTTTTTGTTTGAGACAGAGTCTCACTATGTAGTTCAGGCTGGCTTTGAACTCATGATGTGGCCCAGGCTGGCCTCAACTTCATGGCCATCCTCCTGCCTCAGCCTCCCATGTGCTGAAATTATAAGATAATATTTTTTAAAACACAAAACTTTTAAATTTTGGTGATTTCCAGTTTATCTCTTTTCTTTTTCCTTCAGGGATTTTTGTTGTCTTGGCTTTTTTTTATATATTGGGGATTGAACCCTAGGCTTCACAAGGCAGACACAAACTCTGCCACCAAGTTATACTCTTAATTTCTCTGTTTTTTTTTTCTTCTCTCTTTTTCTCTTTCTTCCTTTCTCTTTCCCTTCCTTTCTTCCTTCCTTTCTTCCTTTTCCAGGTATTGAACACAGAGCCCCATACATGAGTGGTTAAGTATCCTACCTGTCTTTTTTTCTTTCGTTGCTCATGTTTTAGATGGCTTGTTTGTTTGTTAATTTGCTTGTTGCAGAACTGGGGCTTGACCCCAGGGGAATTTTATCACTGAGCTATATCCCCAGCCTTTTTTAAAAATTATTTTTTGTTTTGAGATAGGATCTTGCTAAGTTGCCTAGACTGGGCTCCATTTTATAATCTTCCTGCCAGGCATGGTGGTGCATGCCTGTAATCCTAGCACTCGGGAGACTGAGGCAGGAGGATCATTCAAGGCCAGCCTGGGCTACATAGGTGAATTCAAGGCCAGCCTGAACGGCATAGTGAGACCCTATCTCAAAAAGACCAAAAAAAAAAAAAACAAACAACAAGCTAAAATATAATCTTCCTGCCTCAGCCTCCAAGAGTACTAGAGTTACAGGTGTCCACCACAACTCCTGGCTTTTGGTATAAACCCTTAAGATTTTGATATAAACTCTTAGTGATTAAGAATTCTCTCCCAAATCCTAGGTCAAAATTTTTTATCCTATATTTTCTTCTAAGAGTTTTATGGCTTTCAATCTTATATTTAGGTCTTTGGTCCATTTTGTGTTAATTTTCCTATGTGGTCTAAAGAAAAGGGTTCAACTTCATTCTTTCACGTGTGGCTATCCAGTTGTCCCAGCACCACTTATTTTCTTTTTCTACTGAATGTTTTCGGCATCCTGTTCTTGAAAATTCCCTGGTTGTTAATAACATGAGTTTATTTCTGGGCTTTCAATTCTATTCTATTGATCTGTATGTCTGTTTACCCAGTATCATACTGTTTTGATTTCTGTAGCTTTGTAATTAGTTTTGAAGTTGGGAAGTATGGAGTCTACTGTATTCTTTTTAGAATTGTTGTGGTGAACTAAATTTTAGTAACTGAAATTGATTCTTTCTGGGATGTACCTGATTTTTCATTATGAGAATGACAGCACAGTCAAACATAGTGATCAGGAAAAAAAATTGGGAGTTTGAAGGAATCTTAGAGAGGGATTTGGGCTTCACACAAAATTGAGATGTTTAAGGTAGTTTTACCTGGATCTTGAAGGGCAAGGTAGCCCCAGCAGATTTCTGGGTTACATAAACTTACTCACTGGATGGGTCAGCTTTATGTCACTATAATGAAATATTGGACACAGGCTACTGATGGAGCAAAGGGAGGCCCACAGTTCTGAAGTCCCAGTCCAGCCCTGTTCATTTGGGCCTCTGGTGAAAGCCACACGTCTCAGCAAGAGCATGTATCAAAAGTGTGCTCACAGCTCAAAACAGGAAACAGAGAAAGAGAAGGAGGCCCACAATCCCTTTCAAGCCTGTGACCCTCACAGCCTAAGAACCTCCCAAAAGGCCTCACCTCCACAGCATCTCCAAATACCATGACCCTGGGGACCAATCCTTTCTATATGGACCCTGGACTCTCATTAAAACCATGGCCCTTATGTTTTGCCATGGAGAAAGTCTTCAGATAATATATGTTTTTATGCATGTACAAGTCCTTTTAGTCGTTTGTGTTAGGTTTCTCAATTTCATAAATGCTTTTTACATAAATCTTGATAAGCCAGGAGTGGTGGTGCACACCTGTAATCCCAGCACAAGGGAGGCTGAGGCAGGAGGATTGCCATGAGTTTGAGGCCAGCCTACGCTTCACAAGCAAGTTCAAGGCCAGCTTACACCACATAGCAAGACTCTGTCTCAAAAAATAAAATAAAATAAACCTTAATGATTTTTTTTCCAACCTTTGGCTCCTTTTTGGTTTCTACACAGCGTTATCAGGAAATACACACACACACACACACACACACACACACACACACACACACACAATCAATCAATCAATCAATAAACTTTTTTCTCTTGTTTTTTTTCTTTTTTGGGATTTTGCTCATATCCTGTGCTTTATATTAACTCTAGTCTCAGAACAAAACCTAATAATTAACACCTTCCATCATTTTAAATTGTATTAGGTTATCATAACTTTTGTTTTTGCTTTGTTTTCTGAGGTAGAGTCTCACCATACAGCCCAGGCTTCACTCCTCTTGCCTCAGCCTCAGGAATCCCAGGATCACAGGCTTGTACCTCTGCGCCTGGCAGTAATATTCCTTCCTATAAAGGCCAGGTGTCATGGCGCACACCTATAATCCCAGCACTCGAAACGCTGAGGCAGGAGGATCACTGTGAGTTCAAGGCCAGCCTGGGCTACAAAGTGAGCTCAAGGCCAGCCTAAACTGCATAGTGAGACCCTGTCTCAAAAAGAGAAAAAAAAAAAAGACAAAAGACAGAAAAATTCCTTCCTATATGTATCAAAGTTCTTACTGAACAGAGTTCTGGGTTGCAAAACAGAATTTATTGTTTGCACCTGTCCATTAAGTTTTATTTCACAAGTGAAGACAGTGTTTTCTCCCCTTTTATCTAGGAATTTGACAAATCTGAAGCTATACTTGAGGAGGTAACTGCGGCTGAAAAACAGTGAAGAGGTGCCTGTCCCCATGGAAGATTCGCGTCTGTCCAGCAGTGTTGACGTGGACAAAGGCTTTGCCATTGCCTTTGTTGTTCTTCTCATTCTCTTCCTGATAGTGATGATTTTTCGGTGTGCCAAGTTGGTGAGGAACCCCTATGAGGCCAGCTCCACAACCACAGACCTGCCTCTGAGTTGAAGTGTGGTCAGGCCTTGGTCAGCAGCCCCTCAAAGAGAGCTGAAATCTTTCACACAGACTTTTATGACCCAGCGTTTCTGTTACTGCACCTTCCTTCATCTAAGCCTGTTCACCCTTTCACTCCACAATAGGTTTGTGAGAGTGAGTTGAAGACTAATAAAAAGAGATGAAATGCAAGTCAGTTTTTATTCTTCTTCTTCGGGGAAATGATTGCTAAAAGGGAAAAGAAACAAGCTGAACTCATTGGTAGAATATAAGGTCATGGGTCCAGTTTCTAAGGTCCTTAAGATGAGACAGTAGGGTACAACTTTATGATGCAGTGTTGTGCTATCATTATGCTCGGTAATGCCGTTCTGAAAGTAGGAGCTCTTCTGGAATAGCAGACTTGAATGCTTCTTTTAGTTATAGAAATGTAAGGTAAGCAGGAGTTCATAATCTTATGACAACTCTGACAAGGATATTTTATTTTATCTTATTTTATTTATTTTTGAGACAGGGTCTTGCTATGTAGTTCAGGCTGGCCTTGAACTCACTCTGTAGCCCAGGCTGGCCTCCAACGCCCAGTGATCCTCCTGCCTCATTCTTCCAACTGCTGAGATTACAGAGTATGTGACTAGACCCAGCTATGAAGTTTTTCAAAATCCACTGCCCGTCTAAGGTAGGCAAGGCTCTATGTTAGCGAACTAATTTACCTTAGGTAAATCCCATACCTAAGCCAAAATTGCTTCATCTATAAAATAAAGTGGTTGGAGGAATGGGGCCCCCAAAAAGATATGTCTACATTCTAACTACCAGCACTTATTTTTTACTAACTTTATTGGTACATTTTAGATATATATAATAATCACTTTAATCATAGTGAATTTGTACCTGCACATGACATAACTTCATTCTTTTTTTTACCATTCCCCTGCACTCTCTTCAACCCCTCTTCCCCTTCTTATTTACAAAAGGTTTGTTTCCATTTTTTTCTTCTCCTCTAATTTTTCTGTTTTTTCCTTAATTCCCTTCTTCTTACCCCCTCCCTTGTACCCCTTCTCATTTGAACACGTTCTTCCTATTTCACAATACCTATTATGTATTTTCGTCTTTATTTAAATTTTTGGTTTCTCACACAAGAGAAACAATACAGTATCTACACACGTTTGACTTATATTGCCTAACGGTGTGCTCTCAAGGTGTACCCATTTAGCTAGAAGTGTCTCAAGCTTATCCATCTTTATGGCTGACTAGTACTCCATTGTATAAAAAAATACATCTTTATCCATTTCGGGCTGTTTCCAAGATTTGGCTATTACAAAATGTGCTGCTATAAGCATGGGTGCACATCTATCACTGTAGTATGATGCTTACAAATTTTTTCAGAGAGATGCTAAGAAGGGAAATCTCTGGGTTGAATGGAACCTCTAGTTCTACTTTTCTGAGGAATCTCCACACTGATTTCCACAGTGGTTGTACCAGCCTATACTCCCACCAACAGTGGAGAAGTGTTCCTTTATCCCCACAGCCCTGCCAGCATTTGTTCCTGGTTGATTTCTTGATAATAGCCATTCTTTCTGAGGTGAGATGGAATCTCAACATTGTTTTAACTTGCATCTCTTAAAAGACAAGTGATGCTGACCATTTTTCATATATTTATTTGCTGTTTGTACTTCCTCATCTGAGAAGTGTGTATTCATCTCAGATGCCCATTTTGGGATTGGGTCTTTAAATTTGGGGGAGTCTGAATTTTTTTAGTTATTTATATATTTTATTTTTTTCTTTATATATTTTAGATATTAGTCTTTTGTCTGAGGAATAGCTCAGGCTGGTCTTGATCCCACAGTGAGCCTCCTACCTCCACCTCCCAAGTGCAGGGATTACAGGTGTGCACCACCATGCCCAACCCATGCTGGGTTTTTTGTTCGTTTGTTTGTTTGCTCTTATCACAGTAGCTTTGCAGTATAATTTCAAGTCAGGGATTGTGATGCCCCCCACCTTGCCTACGTTGCTCAGAATTGCCTCTGCTATTCTCTGTCTCTTCTGGTACCAAATGAATTTTAGGATTGTTTTCTCTAATTTCGTGAGATATGCTGTTAGAATTTTGATTGGAATTACATTAAATCTGTGTAAGAGTTTTGGAAGTATGTCATTTTCACTATATTGGTTCTTCTACCCAAGAGCAAGGGCTACCTTTCCATTTTCTGATACCCTCTTCAATATCCTTTTTCAGAGTACTATAGTTTTCAGTGTAGATAATAACCATTCCTTCTTAGGTGAGATGGTCTTTTTTTAAACTTTTTTTTCAAACTTTTACTTCCTTCATTAGATTGATTCCTAGGTATTTCATTTTCTGGATGCTGTTGTGATGGGTGGTGTTTCCCTAATTTCTCTTTCAATGAGTTTATTATTTGTGTACAAGAAGGTTCCTGATTTTTGAGTGTTGACTTTGTATCCAGCTATGTTAATGAATTTGGTTCTTAAATCTAGAAGTCTTGTCAGGGATATAGCTCAGTGGCACAAGCACCTGCCTGGCAAGCTCAAGGCTCGATTCCTGGTACCAAAAAAAATCATAATCTAGAAGTCTTTTGGTGGAGTTTTTGAGTTTTTCTACAAAGAGTATCATGTCATCCACAAAGAGTGATAATTTAACTTCTTTCTTCCTATCCTTTTTCCTTTTATTTCTTTCTCTTGTCTAATTGTTCTTTTTTGTTTGTTTGTTTGTTTTTTGTTTTTTTCTGGTACCAGGAATCAAACTCACGACCTTGCACTTGCCAGGCAGGCACTGTGCCACTGAGCTAAATCTCCAGCCCTGTGTCTAATTGTTCTTGCTAATGTTTCAAGAGCTATATTGAATAAGAGTAGAAACAGTGGACATCCTTGTCTTATTCTAGATTTTAGAGTGAGGGGCTGGGGATTTAGCTCAGCGGCACAGCGCCTGCCTGGCAAGCGCAAAGTCGTGAGTTCGATTCCTGGTACCAGAAAAAAAAAAAATGAGATAGAGTGAAAGCTTTCAGTTTTTGTCCATTTAGTATAATGTTGGCTGTTGGTTTGTAATAGATGGCTTTATCAGATTGAGATAAAGATCATCTGTTCCAATTCTCTGAAAGGTTCTTTTTTATCACGAATGGATGTCAGACTTTTTCATAGGCTTTTTCTGCATCTATTGAGATGATAATAAGGTTTTTGTCCTTGGCTCTTTTAATATGATATATTATACTTATTGATTTGCATATTTTGAACCATCCCAGCATTCTTTGGATGAATCCCACTTGGTCATAGTGTACAATCTTCTTGATGATTTGCTGCATTCTGTTTGCCAGTATCTTATTGAGAATGGTTTTTTTTTTTTTTTTTTTTTTTTTGGTTTTTCTCCGGTACCAGGAACCGAACACACGACCTTGCGCTTGCCAGGCAGGCGCTTTGCCGCTGAGCTAAATCCCCAGCCCCCTTATTGAGAATTTTTGAGTCTAAGTTTATTAGGGAGTTTGACCTGTAGTTCTCTTTCTTGGTTAGGTCCTTCTCTGGTTTTGGTATCAGGGTAATTCTTACTTCCAGGAATGAATTTGGAAGTATTGCTTCCCTTTCAATTACATTAAAGAGTTTGAGGAACACTGGCATTAGGTCTTCTCCAAATTTATTCTAGAATTCAGCAGTGAATCCATCAGGGCCTGGGCTTTTCTTTGTTGGTAGGTTTCTAATTTCATCTTCAATTTCATTGATTGATATTGATTTATTTAGAATTTTTGTATCTTGTTGATTCAGCTTTGGTAATTCATATGTATCTAGGAATCTGTCCATTTCTTCTGCATTTTCTATCTTATTAAAATATAGGTTCTCAAAATAGGAATAGATTATCTTCTGGATTTATGGAGAATCTGTTGATTTCACTCTTTTTATTCCTAATTGCATGGATTTGAGTCTTTTCTTTCTTTCTTTCTTTCTTTCTTTCAATAATAATGGCAAAGGGTTTGTCAATTTTATTTAATCTTTCAAAGAACCAACTCTCTTCAATTCATTGATTCTTTGTATTGTTTTCTTAGTCTCCATTGCTTTAGTTTCTGCTCTGATCGCCATAATTTCCTCCTTCATATGAGCATTGGGCTTGACTTTCTCTTCTCTTTATAGAAGCTTGAAGTTCAACATTAAGTAGTATATTTGAGGTCACTATGTTTGCCTGATACGGATACTCACCATTATAAATTTCCCTTGTAGGACTCCTTCCATTGTGTCCCACAAGTAGTAGTGTGTTGTATTGGCATTATTGTTTGACTGTAGAAACTGTCTAATTTCTTATTTAATTTCATCTGTGACCCACTGGTTGTTTAGGGGGGTGTTATTTAATTTCCGTGTGTTTATGCAGTTCTTGTATTTTTTTGCCATTGGTTTCCAATTTCATTGTACTGTGGTCTGATAATATGCATGGGATGTTGATAATTTAAATTCCCTTGCATTTACTTAAGCATGCTCTATAAGCTAGGATATGGTCTATTTTGGATAATGTCCCATGTGCAGCTGAGAAGAATATGTATTCTGATGTTGTGAGATGGAACACTCTGTAGACATCTACTAAGTCCATTTGTTCAAAAGTTTGGTTTACAGGCTGAGTGTGGTGGTGCATGCCTGTAATCCCAGCACTCAGGAGGCTAAGGCAAGAGGACTATTACAAGTTCAAGACCAGCCTGGGCTACAAAGTGAGCTCAAGGCCAGCCTGAGACTCTGCCTCAAAAAGACAAAAAAAAAAAAAAAAAGGTTTGGTTCAATTCTGATATTTTTGGGATATAGCTCAGCAGCATAAGTGCCCACCTGGCAAGCACAAGGTCCTGAGTTCGATTCCCGGTACCAAAAAAAAAACAAACAACTCTGATATTTCACTGTCAATTTTTTGTCTAGTTGATCTGTGTATTGGTGTCAGTGGGTATTAAGGTCACCCATTATAATTGTATTAGTGCTTAATTGATTTTTCATGTCCGTAATTATTTGTTTTATCTAGTTGGGTGCATTGATATTTGTTGCATGTATATTTATAATTGTTAAGTCTTCCTCTTGGATTGTTCCCTTTACAAGGATGTAGTGACTTTCCTTGTCTCTTTTAATCAATCTTGACTTGAAATCCACTTTGTAAATAGAATAGCTACTTCTGCTTTTTTCAGGTTCCTGTCGCATGGAATATTGTTTTCTATCCTTTGACTTTTAGT